AAATAGCCTTTGTGCACAGCCAGCCTTGTGCTCTTCTAGGTTAAAAAAACTGTCGTCCATAAAATGTGTTGCACAAATTCGAACATCTGGGTTGTGCTGTTCTGTTGTAAATAAATCTTAACCAATGATTCCTAATTGCATCTACTTCCGGAAGGCCAAATAAAGTGCTTTTGCTTTCACACTGAAACACAGCGTCTCACTGACATGGCTGCATCAACACTACTGCTGTTCCTGAAACCACGCCTTCTTTCTTTGCATGCACATTTGGGCGGCATTATGCTAATATTTCCACATACTGACGTAGACATGTGGGGGCGTGTTAGAACGAGCCGTTTTAGGTAGGCATGGTTGACTCTTAACTTTTATAAAGAATATCTCTTTGGATTTGAGACTTTAGTCTTTGCAACATTACAGATCTTATTTATGCACCAAGAGCTTGTAACACTCCAAAGAGAAAGGAAAACTTGAAATTGCATCATATGACCCCTTTAAAAGGCAAGTGAAGTATGTAAAGTAAAAGGGAAATTATTAGTTGCTCTCAAAACCCTTAATTTCCCCCAAATAGTTAACAGAGAAACAACTACATTAGTGCAAATGCTGAGAACAAATACACTGACCGCCAGAATACAAAAAATGTTAACATGATGTGACATTAAGATGACACACTCCATTATGACATCATACCCCTGCACTGTTTGTCTAGCTTATATATTTGCCATCCTGGCTCCTCATTGGTGGAATGTCACCCAATCAAATTGCAAACTCAACTCACACCTCTTAAAGACTTGCCTCTGTTCGCCTTGATTTTATGAATTTATTTAACTAAAAACTAAAATGCTAACTCGGATCTATGACCACTTTCACTCACAAAACTATTAGTACTTTACAAACTACTGTATTGCCTGAACATTTTTTCTAAAATCAGAACCATCATTACCCTGAATTCTTTTGTTGACTTGACCTGTCTTAGTTAAACTTTAATTGGTTTATCTGTACAAAAAAGAAAAAAAAAGTGTTTTGGAACAAACGTTTCGTTCCATTCCTATTTTTCTAAAGATTCTGAAACTAATACCCCTGAGAGACTGTCACAGTAGCACATACTGCTGGTGCTTCCTTTCAGCTTTCTCTTTTCAGTCAGACATCTACAGTACTAGAACGCTTTGCATTATGAAGTCTGACTCCATGTTGTTTTTGAGTCACAGCATTTCTCCTTTTTCAAAGGTCACTGCTTCACTGTAAATGGTGGACTAGTCTTTAGTATTACTAAGCAAATAAAATATATTCAAAAAATATTTTGAAACGTTTCAAACGTCATGTTGCTTCAATAAATGAACCTGTTTTGAGTCCCGACTTCCATTCGTCCTCTTGGGTTTATGTGACTGGAAATGTAAGTGATAAACCTGCTGGTGTTTTTCGCCAGAACAAAAAGTATCGACCCTGAGAGCTCCCTGACTCTTTTCTCATTAATCTTTCTAGAACCATTTTTGAACGTCATTAAAGGAACAAAAACAATAACTTAGTATTGGCCTGAAGAAATTCCTCTGGTGAACCTCAGGTTAATAGTGCACTTAATAATGATACCCTCTATTTCTCCCTTTGAAACTTCTGTGTTGACCAGAAGATCTCAGGATTTGTGTCGTATTTTGACATCATGAGGTGTGGTCTCTTTCCAGATGTCACTTCGGGATGTCATTTTCATTCTCAAACAGGTCGAGTCCACTTTGTACGAGTTTGTCAGCTGAACTGATGGCGCTGGAAACCAGAGTCAGGGACTGGTTGACGCTGTTGTGCCAGGGGACCTCCAGGGCATTCTTCAGGATAGAGAAGCATGGAGTTTGTCTGCTCAAGCAATAGAGAATGTTCCTGTGAGAAACCGAAATAAAAGAAAGCGGGGTATTCAAATGGAACACAAAGTTATAATTAATGAAATAAATTTAAGTAACATGATTAATAAAATGAATAAGAGATAAAGAAATAATACATTAAAAATAAACCACAAAAAACAATAGTAAAAATACAAAATTAAATAAATTCAAATAATAACATTAGTAATAACATTCATAAATATAAAATTAACAGTAAAAAATTAAAATAATAAATGTAAAAAACATTAACACCAATACAGAAATGTAATAAATTGTAATAAACATTAATAAATTAAATGAATAAATACAATTAATAACAAATAAGTAAAAATAAAATAAAATAAACCACAAACATAGAAATAATACAATTATTTAAATACACTGAAACAATAGGCATTTCTAATAAAACATAAAACAACATTTTTAATAAATATTAATACATTTATAATTTTGAATAAAAGATTAAAAATAATGAATTAAAATAAAAGCAAAAAACATTATCAACATTAATAGTAAATAAATAAAAAAATACTAATAGCGGTACAAAAATAAATGAATTCAAATAATAACATTATAACATTATAAAAAAATGGATATATAAATTAATAACAAATAACAAAACCCCTACTTTGAGAAATGCTGCTTTAACAAGCTCTTCTGTTTAGCAATGTAATTTTTGGAGACAACCAAAGTTGAATAATTTTTGGTTCTTTTAGACTAGTACTCCGGACTGTATTCTGTCTAGTTACCTAATCTGCTCTAGCTGTGCTTTACGGCTAAAATAAGGTAGATTTAGGATATGCTGCATGTGCCTTGCATCAGGCATTCAGGTACTTCAGTAAGAGGAAAAGGCATAATTTACTTATATGTCATCTACTGTACCAACAAGCACATGTTCACATATAACATAGAGCATAAATACATCACAAAATCAATACCAATGTATCTTAAAACAACCTTGGAACAACCACTCTTTTTCAACTGTAATCTGCAGAGATATCACCCGAACTCCTGCATGACAATATCAACAGACTTTGGGCCATTTTAAATTCTTTAACTGTAAACAGATCGTGTTAAGTTGAGAATAAGCCTGTCACCTTCAAAAACCAAAGTTTATATGAGAACGTTATAATGAACTATCTTGCTAAAAGGAAGGCATAAATCACATGAGAACAGAGCTTGTTCTCCTATCACCAAGCCAGAGATACATTTGGACCTGGTATAAATGTGTTTGCTTACTGTTTGTTAACATTTTAACAGAATTATGAAGCTTTAAAAAGACAGTACAGTGAAAGGCCTCAGAGCATTTCATCGTTGTGATTTATTTGAAATGAAGGACTGAAATGTCCACATCTCAAACACCCTCTCTTCATTCCCAAAGGAAATGGTTATCCTTTTTTTGTTCGGCCTGTGAGTCATATCACCCAGAAAGTGGCTCTCCATCATTCTTAAAGGAACGTTCCGGGTTCAATACAAGTTAAGCTCAACTGACAGCATTTGTTGAATGTTGATTACCAAAGGACATTTTGACTGATTCACTCCTCACTTTTCTTTTCTTTTTTCTTTTCTCTTTTTTTGCTTTTTTCCACTGTCTTTCTATTTTTTTTTTATAAGGACAAATGTATATTTTTTCTCATATTTTTGTTAAAGTACACACTGTATCTGTACATTCATTATTCTAAAGAAAATGTCTATTATTTGAATTGTACAGTATACATAACTGTACTTGCAGATAATACTAATGAAATAAAAGGCAATTTAAAGGTACAAAGAGAGTACACTTTCATGACTGTACACCTGTATAAATAAAAATGTACTCAAGTCCAACTTGAGTCAAAAAGCACTCAAATATTCAGCTAAATGGATTTATTATACTAAAGTTATAAATAAACGTTATAAACTCTAGTTCTATAGTGTAAAGTTATATAGTGTATAGTTCCATAAACTATAGTATAAACTATATAAACGCAGTTAAGTATCATAAAACATTACATTAAAAAAAAAAAAATATATATATATATATTTAAAAAAAACAAGCTCACTGAAGACAAGTAAACAATCAGCGATTATATAAGAATAATAAACTAATTACAGGCAAAAGGACAAAAAACTACAGTAGAACAAATAAATAAGAAATTATACATACAGTGTATAAAGTAATCAAATGTATAAAAACCCTGCATATTCTTCACTGTCAATTAAATATATATTTCTTCTTATATACATTTGGACCTGGTATAAATGTGTTTGCTTACTGTTTGTTAACATTTTAACAGAATTATGAAGCTTTAAAAAGACAGTACAGTGAAAGGCCTCAGAGCATTTCATCGTTGTGATTTATTTGAAATGAAGGACTGAAATGTCCACATCTCAAACACCCTCTCTTCATTCCCAAAGGAAATGGTTATCCTTTTTTTGTTCGGCCTGTGAGTCATATCACCCAGAAAGTGGCTCTCCATCATTCTTAAAGGAACGTTCCGGGTTCAATACAAGTTAAGCTCAACTGACAGCATTTGTTGAATGTTGATTACCAAAGGACATTTTGACTGATTCACTCCTCACTTTTCTTTTCTTTTTTCTTTTCTCTTTTTTTGCTTTTTTCCACTGTCTTTCTATTTTTTTTTTATAAGGACAAATGTATATTTTTTCTCATATTTTTGTTAAAGTACACACTGTATCTGTACATTCATTATTCTAAAGAAAATGTCTATTATTTGAATTGTACAGTATACATAACTGTACTTGCAGATAATACTAATGAAATAAAAGGCAATTTAAAGGTACAAAGAGAGTACACTTTCATGACTGTACACCTGTATAAATAAAAATGTACTCAAGTCCAACTTGAGTCAAAAAGCACTCAAATATTCAGCTAAATGGATTTATTATACTAAAGTTATAAATAAACGTTATAAACTCTAGTTCTATAGTGTAAAGTTATATAGTGTATAGTTCCATAAACTATAGTATAAACTATATAAACGCAGTTAAGTATCATAAAACATTACATTAAAAAAAAAAAAATATATATATATATATTTAAAAAAAACAAGCTCACTGAAGACAAGTAAACAATCAGCGATTATATAAGAATAATAAACTAATTACAGGCAAAAGGACAAAAAACTACAGTAGAACAAATAAATAAGAAATTATACATACAGTGTATAAAGTAATCAAATGTATAAAAACCCTGCATATTCTTCACTGTCAATTAAATATATATTTCTTCTTATTCAATTTACAAAAGTGATTTAGTCGAGAGCTGTGAGAGCTTTTCTCTGTTTTGTTGTCTGATTAACATGAATGACAGACAGCAGGAATATTAGACTATAAGAGCTTTAGTACTGTATATTAGTCACTTTAAAGGTGGGGTAAGCGATTTTTCAAAAACGCTTTAGAAAACTGATTCGGGCCGAGTAGCAAAACAATCTTGTAGCCAATCAGCAGTAAGGGGCGTGTCTACTCATGATGTGGAGGAGAGAGCGTTCAGTTCACAGCACAGGACAGACATTAGCCGAGCCGAGCGACAGAAAGATGGAGATGGCGGATAAAAAACAAAAGAGGAAAATGTCTGCGGAACAAAAGAAGGCTCAAGGCAATAATGCAAGAAGTAGGACCCGTGTAAATATCAGATCAGCTTTCCAGCACTGGAGAGAACTCGGAGCGGAAGGCCTGCGATCGGATGCCGAGGTTACTTTGTTTCTTCTAGATAGGTGAATAACACCATGTCTACACTGGACGTGATACAGTGACCGTTGAAAATCATTTGAAATGTGCGTCAATACGTCATAAATAGAATGCAGCAGCAGTTTTCTGTCGGGGATTTTGTCGTGTCGTGTCGTGCCGGCCCGCATCCAGTGTAGACCATATATATGTATATATATCTATGGTGTAGACAGCATCACTGATTATAATGAGTTCTATAGTATTTTGTCGCGCCGCACCGCTTGCGTCCGGTGTAGACACGGTGTAACATTGGTTTTCAAATGTCAACATTGGCTGCCAGAAATCGCTTACCCCACCTTTAAGAGCTGCCCGGTCCGGAACCAATGTATTGTTACACATGCGTTTTCTTTCTCAGCTGTTTGCTTTCACTTAACACCTAAATTACTGTGTTTATGAGGATACTTTCAAAGACGGGTATTTTGACATAAACAAGTGTGTGTATTTAACCGGTCAAAATGACTCCAATACTCCCGCGCTCTGTGAGCACCGTCTTCACGTACTCGCGCCTCTCTGACAGCGCACACATATAGCAAAACAAGTTCCCTTTCATGGGAACTTCGAACTGCGTCCTCTAGGGGTCGCTATGGGGAACGCCTCGTCGTGACCT